AGACATATCTGTTACAGAGACGCCTTCTTTTTTCAGGTGAACAATTCTATATTTCATCTCATAGTTAATACGAAATGAATTCATATTGTTTTAATTATGAGCAATAAAATCAGAGAATTAGAAAAATGTGAATATTATAACTACGATTAACCAAAGAACATTTAAAATTTAAATTAGAGTAATTAGACTTAGAGTGATAGTGTCATTCAAAATTCCGTTCAAAGTTGAAGCAAATGATGTGTGGTCTGTAATTTTATGGTGGTTATTTATTAAAATTGAAAATGCGACTTATTATTTTTTTTGCATCCGAAGCAATTAAGGGCAACCCGGTAACGGGGAATGGAGGTCGTGAATGCTCATAGCATCCGGCTGCGTGGTTATGTGGAGACTTTTACCGACCAAATACCACCTTTTGGGATTGGCTTAACGACGACGAGAGATCTTTAAGCCGTAAACGGACGCGACCCTCCTTGGGATAAAGGAGGGCGCAACGACTTATTACGAAATGATGTTCTTATATAGCACGCGGTCTATCCAACAAACGACAATGTAATATGCTACGAGATATATCGTGCTGCAAAACTTAACGCGCTTGCCGGCTTCTTACATACTTTCTCATAAATAGCGCGCTATAACATAGCGTAATTAATAGCGCGCTAAATATTTATAGTTAATAGTCTATAGCGTGCTATTGATTTATAGTCGTTTTGAACAACTTTAGTAATTACGTTTGTCCACACCATGAAGGTTAGCGTTAGAAAACAGGAGAACGATCACTACGTACTAAAGTATAGCCCGTCTGTCCTTGAAAATTGTAGAATTTATAGCGGCGCTGACGTCGGTGAGTAGTGACTGCGAAGTTAGCTGTTTATGAGTACAAGTTGTTGAAGTTAGTTGAATAATGTACAAATTTTCTCCGCACTCTAATTTTTGACAAAAAGAAACATTAAAAAATGGAGAAATATTTTATTGTGCGTGGATTTGCAAGTGGTTTAGCATCTGATCGGAAAAATAGACCGAAAATGACTTATTGACCGAACTTAGCGATTGCAGCGCCTCACTTATGGTGTCCATATTTCTGTGACACTATTTTTTACGGCGATTGTTCTCCTGTACTCTAACCATCATGGTCCACACGCAAACAAGCAAATGAGTAATTTTTGCAAGTAAATGTCGTTTTCCCCAAAAAATGGGGAAATGTAATAGTAGACACAGGTATAGAATTAATTTCGGTTGCGTTTAGAATTATTTATTAATTATTTACAAAGAGAGAAATGTAAAATAATTATATTTGTTAACTAATGTTTTATTTAAATTATTTATTTACGTTATATCTTGTACTATAATATATATTCACAAATCTATTTTGTCATTATATTATTTTATCAGAAGTAATATATTAATATAAGTATATAGTATTATACAATATGTATCGTTATTAACGCACACCGTCAGACACCCCAATTAATATATTATGTTATAATCATAGTACATACACTGAATTTTTAGTTAAACATTTTTATGCACTGAATATTTTCAAATCAGTTATACTAATTCCGGCACAATGGTGTGGTCACAGTACAAATCCACGAACGCAAAGACTTTAATGTGATTGAAATAAAGTTCATTTTTCTTTATTTTTATTGAATGACAGAATTAGTAATAATACAAATAAAACTGCACTCTTAAAAGTCTTATTGCCTTCAGTTAAGGTCCATTTCAGCTTGTTTTGACTTTACAGATTTAGTGTGACTGTAATTTACGTAGTTTTAATTATTTTTGGGATAAAAAATTACCTATATTAAAAATGATAGGAATCGATTCAGTAAGCGATTCTGAACAAACTACTTTCTCAAAGTGCGTTAATTATGTTACATGTTGTATGTTTATATAAATATATAATATACATAATTGAATAGGCATTTTGTATTAAAACGAAATAAGATTTGCAAGGATAAAAACTATTTAAATAAAATATGAAATAAAAATATTTAGTATATAGTTATACCCAAGTGCTTAAACTAAACATCTCTTACTTAATAACCCTGCATCTGCAACTGTTTTCTAAGCAACTGCCGATTTGATGACGCTACCCGCGAAATATTATCTTTTTGGATTCATAACGTTCTACAATAAGCCGCGCCAGATTTGTGTCGTGATGTTGCGAATTGATGGGCTCTTCTACAATAGGAAATAGAGAACGACCAATGAGTTTAGCTATAATTTTGAGAGTTAGCTCTTTCTCTGAATTGTTTTTCGGTGCATTATGCTTAATATAATTCCGCAGATTATTTTTAGCAATACTACAAATGGAGTAGACTTCATTAGAAACGTAAATTAATCCTCCTTGTTTGCGCAGACACACCACATTATGGAACCATTGTTTTTCCTTGGCTAGCATATTGTCCACACAAAATCTACATTTAATTCGTGTAGTGATATATCTCACAACATTCCCTGCAATATATCCAACGATGTGATTTTTACAATCTGGATCATCATTATATGCCATCTCAAATGTGATATCCTCATTAGTCGGTAATGCATTAATCAATTCTTAGTCGGCATCGTCGAATCTTTCTGCTATAGTTGAAACATTCATGCATTGAAGCGCTGATGAGCACGTCAAAATTGAAATAGTTTCAAGTCGTTTCCCGTTTCACCGACTTGTAACTCCATGTGGCAAAGTCATTTTCTAAAGCTGCCCTCAAATTGTAAGGTGTTGGGATTATCGTTGTGCTCGCCATGCATCCTTATTGAACCGGAAAACAGTTCAATATGATCCTGACTTAATTTATAAGTGTTAATATATTTTAGTGCCTGTGTCTCTTCAACCAGAGTTCTAAATAAGTACATAAGGCATTCGATACATACGAGCAATCCTATGAAACCAGTGGAGCACTTGACTGCGAAGACCGATTGAAAACTTTTATTTTTTACTGTATTGACTTTCGTTTTCTTTAAATTTACGTTTTCTGGTGTTTTTGATCTGTAAGTTAAGTATATATTTTTTAGCTTTATCTAAATATTCAAATACTTCTGTTTTATTTTCACGGGAAAGGGCATGACAAAACCCATGTTGAGTAAGGCTTCTAGAATTAAAAATATCAATCAGGTTATTGAAGATCATTATGAAATTTTCTGTGCCGTCACTATCTTTGAAACTGTCCAATTTTAAGACTTCGCGACAAAACCTTAATGCAACTGCTACACTGCTGCTAAGCAATTGGGAAGCTCGTTTCACTTTCATGACAGAGTTTCTAAACTCTATGAATTGATTTGTTGGCTAAGTGTAAGCCTTCCTTTTCTTGCATGTTATTTAATTTTGTTAGGAATTACCAATTAATTTTTCTTTCTTCCTGGAGTCTAAAAATTCTTTTTTATCCTCAAAATGGTTCCGAACTAAATAGCTTAATCATACGGTTAAAATCTAAAAACACAGCTGCGTCGTGATTTGCTGCTGGGTGCTCTTAACTGGGTGCTGGAACCTCTCTACCCCCTAGCGGTCTCATGAGACCGCGGCCATATTCAGTCAAATCCCTATCGGTCTCATGAGGTCGCGCCCACCCACAGCACTTTAATCCATAAAAACTTATATATAGAGACTACATTTCTGTAAAGAAGTTTGGCACTATATAATCAAAATACTCTATATATATTTATATACGTGGTAGAGCCATGCTGCAGTTATATTAGTAGTATAGTTGTAGCATGAATGGGTCGGCTCGACCGGGGAAGGACCACGCTCTCACAGAATACCAGCGTGAAATAGTAGCTTAATGCTGCTGTATTTCGTATGGTGAGTGTAGAGAACCGGAGACCCTTTTTACTGGAAACGAGGCATTCCATCTTAGTCCTCACGGGTGACAACGCATCTGCATTTTGATTCGTAATCGAGGATAGATGTAGATGTCTATGGGCCACAGCAACCACTTACCATCAGGTGGACTGTGTGCTCGTTTGTCACCCTATCCTATAAAAAAAATCCTCTAGTGCAATAAAAACTGTTATTCAATGAATATTTATTTATAATCTACGTTCATTTCGTACGCTATTTTCGCGTGAATGTTATTGTGTTGATTTTTGGATTTTTCTAGTGTTTGAGTATAGTGTTTTATTATAAAATTGTAATGAAAGATTTTGTGTGAATATAATTTATCTATTTACGTAAATAATTTCGAGTAATATATATTGAAATAATTGTGATTTTCACGCTGCCGACATTCGCTTGGTAAGATTTTTTTGTTATCAAAATACAGTAAAATCTTTTTGTAATGAAGTAAAACCTGACTTTTGTTTAGACCACAAGATAGAGAATTTTGTATAGGTTTTATAATGCTAAACTTCTTCATAGAAAAATAGTCTCTAAATATAAGTTTTAATGGTTTTAAGTGTGCGGGCGCATGCGACTGCTTTGGATTTTTATGGTACTTGAAGGGTTAACTATTGTTTTCATTTTTTTGTAGTCCTTTATCTTGCATCCTAATAGTTCCATTGCTGAAATATTTGTAGCGTGAGCGTCAAGGGTAAGAGCGACTACTTTCACACCTACTTCTTCACATTTTATCAGATAAATTTTAATTATGTCACTTTTTTGCTCACCGGATAGGCCATGAATTAAAAAGTATCTCAGTGGAATTTTCCTGTGCTCGTTGAGACAAACTTGAATAAATGTGTAAGCTTCCGTATCTTTCATAGAATATTCAAACGTAAAGACTAGGTCTACTTGTCCATGACCACCATTAATATTTTGCGGACGTATTGCCATTTCGTCGGCTACAAATTACATATCAATTTCTTTCTGAAGATTGTACTTTAGTTTTCAAAAGCTTGAACGCTTCATCCTTTTTGGATGCGGTAAACACGAAGTAAAGGTTCTACGGACGTAACTATATGCCCGTGGTGAGTAGAAGTGCAATGTTAAGCAAAATTTATGAATTTCTGGCGTATACTTTGACATCGAACGTTTTTTGTTCTTTAATACTTTTTTTACTAAGTTGTTATAGAATACCGCTCACGTTTTCTGACAAAATGTTTGAGACGTCATTATCAATAAACCTTTTCTTTCCCAAGTTTTCTAAGATTTTTTGCAAACATATATTTTTTTTCTTTAAGCGACGTGCTTTTTGTTGCAATGTCTTAATTTTTTTACTGTGTTTGATTTGGAGAGAGATCTTTTTGGCTAGTTGTCTCAGTAGTGCAGACTTTCGAGGAGTGTCGAAAACGGATTCTAAGTCCATGTCACTCTCTTGATATACCTGTAAACAAGTTTTATTTTTATTACGCAGAAAGCAGCTGTGTGTAAATTAATTGGTTAAAATTGACTTAAAATCGTATTACGCACAGGTTTGCTTGATGCATGTGCTTCGCTGTCATTTATTGTTTGTTGCTGTCGGGATGGAGATATAGTCAGAGCTGTAAAATTAGTATTCTCGTAGACTTCATTAGAAGACGCGCCCTGATAAACAATCACAACATTAAAGACCAGACATGTGTAAACATTATTAATGAATTTACTTGTAAATATCAAAAATTACTTGTAAATATAAAAAACTAACCAGTTGTGGTTTATGCAGCTTTTGAGGATCATGAATGTCGTTGCTATCTTCTGTGCAAAAAATGTGCAAACCCTAAAACATAGCAACAATAAACATGACAAGTATGTACTTAGCAAATACCATGGATTAGATAATCTTTTATTTATTTATTTAATGATTTAGTTACTATAGTATGTGCCAAATCGATTGAGAAAAACGGCCAATGGCTTCAGATATGAGCCGAGTGTCAAAAAGAATAACTTACAAAATCTCAATTTAAATGTGATAACAATATTTAGGTATTGATATTATTCACACTTCTAGGTCAGCACATATGTTTTGTTTCTTAAATAATATTGTCTGTGGTTCCTATAAACATATTAAAATCTTACGGTACATCGCGAAAAATGTGTTATATTTTATATTTCAATTTATGGTAAGTAACGCAGCAATTCATTTAATAACAGTTTCATATTAAAAAAAAATATTTGAAGCAATATAATCACCATATTGAGCTTTTGCAAATTCATCCCTTTAAAATAAACAAAACGCGCGTTACGTCAGTTCGTTCTAAAAGAAACGTGACAATGGCAGCCAGAGATGCGTCACCTTTTTGAAAAGATGGTTTAACTCAAATCAAGCCAGATAAATGAAAAAAACTGTGTTCAGCATGTCCTTCAGCATGTCCTTAAGGTTGAACAAAAATACGTGGCATGGATGATAGATCGCTTTATAATTAATGTTACAGACAGTTCATCTGAATACACATCAAGTGAAGATACAAGTGATGATTGCACCGAATAAAAATAATGTTCTTATATAATACTGAAAATAAAGTTTTATCTTTTGAATAAGTACGTACTTTTTCGTTATTATATGTGTAGTTTATTTATATGTGTAATAAATTCGTGCTTTTTGTTGTTAAATGAATAAAGTACATTATAACAATAGATGATTTTTTTCCTGCAGCGATCTTTTAAATAACTTTTTAATAATAGTTAATAAATATATATTATATCAATCATTACAAAAAAGTCATTATAAATAAAGAAAGTACTACATATAAAATGTGCCTATATTATGAATGTTTGTAACTCCTGGTTAAACGACCGAAAGGTCATTGTCCGTTTTTTTCAATCTATTTGGCACATACTATAATATTATTGTAAAAATATTATTATACCTTTGTTGGTATAGCACTCTGACGTAATTTACATAAACCACCTTTAGTCATATACTTTTCTTTTTCATCGAAATGTATCGAGCATATCTTAGTGTGTTTAGTTGGCTTCCAATAGTTTTCTTTGCGATTAAGTCTAATTTTTTCAATCCATCGCGCAGCAACGGTCGGATCAGACGGAAATCTAAAAACGAATACATTTAAATTGGCAATAGGATTCACGTTATTATTAACTTCACTTCATTAAAACAAAATAAATATTTTTGTGCTATTTTGGCTAAACGTTAACTATAGTCTTTAACATAATGTAATACACCTTTGTTGGCTAGTGGCAAAACGTATCGTCTTTTTAGGAAATGTTAAAGATATGTAAATCAAAATTAGAATAAAAAAACAATCATATGGTAAATTATTTATCCTAAAAGATATACCATAAAAAAGATAAAAACAACTGTACATCATCATCATCATCATCATCATCATTACAGCCCTTCACAAGTCCACTGCTGAACATAGTCCTCCCCCAAGTAATGCCACAAAGCACGGTCCTGAGCCACCTGCATCCATCGACTTCCTGCATGTCTTACCAGGTCGTCACTCCATCTAGTGGGGGGTCGCCCTACACTACGCCTACCGGTACGAGGCTGCCACTCGAGAACCTTTCTTCCCCATCGGTTATCGGTTCTTCGAGCTATATAGCCGGCCCATTGCCACTTCAGCTTACTAATCCGTTGGGCTATGTCGGTCACTCTGGTTTTACATCTGGTTGGTACATCATCAAAACAAAATAAAATCAACACATTTTTTCGTGGCAAGTGGGATCCCTAATAATATTTAGCAAATAAAATACTTAGTTATGCATGAATATTGTATATATTTTTATTTTCCAAATAAAAATGCAACAATAATAGTCCCACATTGGCAGCATTAAATTATAATAATAAGAAAATATTGGGTAAAATATTTTACTATGCCTAGCAACATTTTCATTATATTGGCGGCTGTCAAATTTACGATTTATGTATTACACAGAGTACCTTTATTATATTGATGTATTATTTTGTTTTGATGAATGTTTTGTACACACTGACCTCTATATATAAAAGTATATATAGAGGTCAGTGTTTTTACAAACATATAAGATGCTAGCACAGAGTACAGTACTTACCCGTGAAATGAGATTTTTAATTTTTTTTCATGATTATGTGATGAGTTGTGACACCCCTTTACAGCACAGTAGGTCATTTTTTTTGCAAAATTGCGCAAGTTCTTTACACGACTACGCGAATTAGAGTACTGTACTGACGCTACACTCTTATCTATGACTAACGCGCCGAAAGTCGTACTTAGCCTTAAAAGGCTAACTTGAAATGGCTTCACTTTGCGTACGCCTGCTGCGGTTCTAACTTCTAGCTTCTAAGCAGAAGCACTTCTAAGCTTCTAAGCCTAGCTTGCTACATATTTATTTATCTATGTCTAAGCCTAATAACTTTTTTTATTTAACTGGCTTTACGGCTCTGGATTCTAGCCCTTCTAAGCCTATCATTTCTTCCAGAATCTTCATTTTATATAATTTTTTCTTCACAATATGCGTCACATTGCGAAGCTTTTGGAACATTTTGACGACAGCTCAACCCAGCGGACTGTTGATGACGACAGCCACTCAAGTTCATAAGGCGCCCAAGCGATCAAATTAACTTGAGGTTTATATCAACATCAAAGCACTTGTTTTGTCGTTTTCTCTAATACTTCACACGCGCAGACACTTAATTCACAAAATTACATCACTTTTACGAATTAAAATCGACTTCAAACCATTATTCAAGCGACAAAACAGGAGCGAGAGTCCGTCGACGGCCAAGTTCCCGCCAAAACCGCCTAAATTCTATGACAGAATGCATTTGAGATAAAAATTGAAACATTGTTATTACTAGTGATAAAATGGGTTTGGTTTTAAATATTCAATTAAAATAAATATTTATAACTACCTAAATGTCCCGGTTTCGCCTGGATGATTCGCTACACAAAATCGTCAATGAAACCGTAGACAGTCCATACCTACTTAGTGCAATAAATTTCAAGGTACCTTTTAAGCTAGTGCGTGTCAGCCGATACGTCCCCTTTTCAGTTGAAGGCACTAAAACTAATTTGGGTCACCACGCCACCATAAACAGGTTACAGAGGCAATATAACCGGCTCTGCAAGACATGTGACGTTGATATTTTTGCTGGTAAGCCTCAAAAATTCAAACGAAAAATTATGCATCAATATCCTTTACTTTTAACTAACATTTAGACCTATTTAGTTTTAAGTATATAGTTGTAAGTAAAAACATATTCGTTGTCCACATTGCATGCCGTGGCAACCTTTAATTAAGATGACACTTAGATATAAACCTTCCTGTAATTTGTAGTATTTACATTGTGTTAGTGTACTTCTTGTTGGTTGTCCTAATAAATAAAAAAAAAAATAATAACTACTTATGAATTTTTCTCAGTTTATCGCATAAAATTTAGCCCAGATCTCTCTCGGTATTGCTCTCTATCTGTTCGTAAAGCTTTATCCCATAACTGATTACGATATACTTAACTACGGTTAAAAATGGTTGTTTTTTTTTCAATCGTACGCAAATAATTTGCTGAGCTTTATAGAAGCTATTTATTTTAATATTGCCGACAGACATCAATTTTATTTGATGTGTAATACACACACACATACACACACACACACACACACACACACACACACACACACACACACACACACACACAAATACACACGCGTACGCGCACGCACACACACACGCACACACACACACACACACACACACACACACACACATATATATATATATATATATATATATATATATATATATATATACATATACATAAGATTGCATAATATTTAAGATTTAGAATTCAAATCTTATATAGGTAATTCGTAATCAATTCGTATTTATCAATGTGTTTATTTTTGCATTCATTGTATTTAGTTGTTTTGTCTAAAGTTTTGATTTTTCAAATGTGATAAACTGTCAATGTCTATGGTTTTGTTTATGAAGACGGTAATTTTTGTAAATACTATATAAGATGGATCTTTAGTAGGAGGATTATGATCTCTGCATCTTTCAAGAAATGATATTGTATTGTAGTAATGATTTCTTATATTTACGCGAACACTATACATGATTAAAACTACTTTTACGGATTTTATCGCGTTTATTTTTACTTTTTATTTACTTTTATTTTTAATTCCCGACGTTTCGGGCGCTTTCCAGCACACATGGTCACGGGGGACTGAGATGACTGACGTCCCGATGTCATTGTTAAACCCGGAGTACCTTCAGCTTTTTTTTAAATTATTGTTTATGGTCCGATCTATGCAAAATGAACTGACTATGTCCTGAGGTCTTGCAGTGGTATGCTTGGGTTTAGTTTTAATTTTATTGATTATAGGATCCCAAGCAGGTGGTAGTACCCAGCCTCCTTCTCTATTGAAATTAGGGTGTTTTTTAATTTCAATAGCCTCACGTATCATCTTTGGTAGGAATCGGTGTTCTTTCGCGAGGATTTGTGGTCTATCAAATCTGATGTAATGGTTGGGTCCGTCTAGGATATGATCACAAACTGCAGACTTCCCAGAACGTTGATGCTTCACATCAGCTATATGTTCTTTTACGCGGGTCCTAATTGATCTTTTTGTTTGTCCTATATAAGAGAGACCACATTCACAATCAAGCTTGTACATTCCTGCATCTTGTAGTGGAATATGACACTTGACGGATGGTAGGAACTGACTAATCTTCTTCGGCGGCTTGTAGAATGTTCTAATAGAAGCTCGCTTCAAGATATAGCCAATCTTGTCTGTGACACCTCTGACATATGGTAGTACAGCAGGCACACGCTCGACTGTGGCCGGCTTCACTCGGTCACTGTGACATAGGCGCGGGACCCGAAGCTTGTTGTCGTGCAGAACTTGCTTGACGTGCTGAAGCTCGGCGGCCAGGTGTTTGCTGTCACAGATCCCTCGTGCTCTCTGTAACAAAGATTTGCCCACGGTAGCTAACTGTGAAGGATGGTGGTGAGATTCACCGTTTAAATATCGGTTTGTATTAGTCCTTTTCCTATACACAGTGTGACCAATGGTGTTATTAGGATTTCGGATGACTAACACATCTAGGATAGGTAAGGAATTATTTGCCTCTAACTCCATAGTAAATTGAATTTTAGAGTTTATGGAATTAAGATGTTCTAAAAATGCAGTTACTTTGTCTGATGGTAAAATTGTGAAAGTATCGTCTACGTACCGCTTGTAGATCCTTGGTGTAATAGGTGCAGTAAGGAGGGCTTTCTCCTCAGTCTTCCATGAATATATCGGCGACAATGGGAGATACAGGTGAGCCCATCGCAACACCATCTACTTGCTTGTAAAACTCTTCCTTCCACAATAGATATCCAGATGTAAGGCAATGTCTTAGTAATACTGCATATTCTGCTGGCATGTTATTTTCCTCTAGTTTCCTAGTTATAATTGAGATGCAGTCTTCAACAGGTAGACATGTAAATAGAGACTGAACATCAAAACTGACCATGGTTTCATTGTCAGTAAGATGTAGGTCTTTTATCTCACTGACAAAATGGTATGAATCCTTAGTGTGTGCTCTTGTGTGTCCTCTGAGTGGTGATAATATTTTAGCTAAGTATTGAGCCAATCTGTAAGTTGGCGAATCAATCTGACTCACTATTGGACGTAATGGAGCATTCGGTTTGTGTATTTTTGGTAACCCATACAACTTCGGTGGTTTGGCACATGAAGGTATTATCGAATTAACGTCCAGATTCAATTTTTCGGAGTATTTCTTAATTAGATCGCTAGTTGTTTTAAGCGTATTAGTTGTAGGGTCTGTTTTGACCTTTCGATAAGTAGTTTCATCCGACAAAAGTTGTTGTATTTTAAAATTGTAAGCTGACGTATCCATTATAACCGTAGAATACCTTTATCTGCGCGGAGAATCGTAAGCTCTGTTCTGTTGCGTAAGTTTTTCAACGCGT